GGCGGGGGGGCCCCGGCGGGCAGAGCCTGAGCTGCTGTCTCCCCCAGGCCCAGCAGGCAGCAGCGAAGCCCCGGAGCCGTGCAGCAAAGCCCCAGCGGGCAGCCAGCCGCCCCGGGGGGGCCGGGAAAAGGCGTTTAGGGCCCCCCGTGGGTCCGGCCGCCCAGGATGCAGGGGAAGGCGATGGTGACAGTGACAGCTCTGCGGGTGCTGCGGCCAAGGGACCCCGGAAGGTGCCTGCGGGAAAAAGCAAAGGGAAGGCACCCAGCAGAGCACAGCGAGATGCCCCCAAGGCGAAGGGGGGTCAAGGCAAGGCAAAGAAGCCTCTGGCAGCCCCAGGAGCCGGCCAGGAGAAGGCAGGGCTGCGGAAGGCAGCCCCCCCCCAGGGGGGCAAGAAGGCCCTGTAGGGGACCAGGCAGCCCCCAGCCCTGCTTCCAGAAGGGCCCCAGCCCTTGAGGTCTGTGGTGGTTTTAAGTCCCCAGCAAAGGTTTTAACTGTGTTCATATCCTGCTAATAAAGCTTTTTCACTCCCCTCATGACATGGTGTGTGTGCTGCCCTGCAGGTGGGTCTGTGCCCCCTGCTCCCACCCCTGGGGGTGTCCAGCCTGCTGCCCTCCCACTTGCCCTTGTGCTAAAGCCTGGCTGAGCTGGGATTACAGCAGTGCTAGGGCAGCAGGACTGGGTACATGCCATGGGCAAGGGTCCCTAGCACCAGGGGAGCTGCCTGTACTCTGGCACGGTGAGAGGAAAATACTAGTATTTTAGGGCTCAGAAAATAATAATTTGGGGTGTTTGCTGTAGACTGCAGCATTGCTGGTGCTCTCATTATCTATCTGTGGTACAGTGCTCACCTCTAAACCAGTCTTGCTCACTCCTGTAAGTCAATGTATGAACACTTCAATTTAATAGCTTCAATTGCCTGATTTTTCTCTTGCTTTGCACAGAACGGAGCCCTTCTGAAGGTCAGCCTGATAATGCAAAGGGTTACAGTTCTCCTGGGCAGGAGAAAATAAGTGGAAGTAAAACTCTCTTCCTAAAGAGGATTTTGCTAATCTCCAGCTGGCCTTGCCAGTGCCCTCCAAGGCTCCTGGCCTTGCTTTGGGGCTTAAGCAAGAGCTGAGCAAACTAACTTCTCTTTAAACTTCAGCCTTGGCCATGTTGATCCATTTTTAATGGAACCCAAACTCATATACCCCCAGGGCTGGGAGGGGGGATGCTGCAGTGATCGCTGAGCAGAGCTTGCCCCCTTTGGTGGTGATTAACCTCACACAGCACTGCTCACGGGCATGGACGTGTCCCTTCTGCAGGGGGACCAGGCAGCAGCTGCCTCCTCCCTCACTAGGCACCCAGTGTGAAACATGAGGCTCTTGCTTTGAGAGGCCAAACCATTTAATGGCTGGATTTAGCTTTGCTAAGAGTTAGCTTTCTAGTGGGGAAAGAAAATCCCTCTGGTGCCTGGAAAGAGCAGCTTTTCTTGGGGGTGGTAGAAGAGAGAGGGTTTAGCAATGCCATGGTTATCTGCCACCATGTCGGGTTTCCCCTGCGTGCAGGAGGCAGCAAGGTCACCACACTGGTTTCAGCACCTGGTTTTATTACAAAGATAGGCTTTTCCAAGAGTCTGCCACTTCCACTACACAGCAGGTAAGGGCACTACACCCACAACACGTGCCAAAGTTAAAAAACATGTTACAAAGGGCTCGGGGGTTCAAGGCAACACTCCAAACCCTCAAGCTTCTGCTCTGGTGAAGTTGTTCCTTTAAAATGGTTGTAGCAACTTTTTTTTGTTTTTTTTTTTACACTTTGGAAACAATTAAATAATAAAGCACTAGGCCCCAATACATGGCCCAGCCACATCACCTGAAGGCAAACTGTACTCACTGTCAACTCACCTGTATCCTTTCCTCCTAACAACATGGAGCTATTGCTCCACAGCCCTTTCCTCACCTCCAGCCAAGCTCAACATTCTCTGCTACATTGGTCCTTCCCACCCTCACCTTCCCTGTGCTGGGCCTGCCTACATCTCTGGCAGCTATTCACAGTTTCTAAAAAAAAAAAAAAAAAGAGATTCAAGAAATTTTTGTGAAATCACTTTCAAAATAAAATGTAGCCCAGCTACATTCTTAGAGTTTCTATTCTGAAACCAAATCTTCAGCAAAAGCATTGAAACCTCTACAGTGTATGTACTTTTTCTGTAGTTCTCTTTTTAAAAAAAGCAACTCTGCTCTTCCCCTTTCCCTCCCCTCCCTCCCCCCCTTTTAACATACTGGATAAAGTCTATCATTTGTTTTAAAATAGATATCTATATACACACACGTGATTCCAATGTTCCCATTTCCTCAAATGTGGCATTGCTGGAGGCGATGGGATGGAGGCCACCTGTCCATGGCCGTGAGTCACCCAGGAGGAGCTGCGGTGGACCCAAGTCACTCAACACCAGATTGCGTCCGTGCCAGCTGGAGCAGTGCTGGAGGCTCACCTCAGACCCTGCCTGCAGTGAGGTAGTAACTTTTTTCTATTTTTCTTTGTTATTTGGCAGTGTGACAGCGTGGTGACTGTGGCTGGGTTTGGCCTCCAAGGGCAGGCTGCCTGTGCCTGCAGGGGGGTGCTGGCTTCCAGCACGGGGGGTGCAGCACAGCCCCTGCAGGGTGTGATGCTAAGGAGGGCTGGGGAGGTCACTCCCCTGCCTGCAGAAGGAAGAAAGGGGCCACGGAGCTGGGACAGGGGCTTGTCCCAGCATGGATGCTGTGGGACAGCAGTGAAGTTTCTAGGTCTGCTGCTGACCCCAGTGTGGGGCGGCCTGGGACACTTTCTGCCTTTGCAGCTGGGGGTGCTGGAGCAGCCTGAGCCAGAAGGTGGAGCTGCCAGGGGAGGGGGTCTGCTCCCTTCGCCTTTATGGGCCAAAACAGACTGGGCACAAAGCAAAGCTGTGCTCCCTTGGTTGATCTCGGGTGACAGCCATGGTGGGCTGGGTCTGTACAAGCAGAACAAGCTGCTTTAGGAAGACACTTCTGTAGCACTGGCCTTGTTTTCAGTGGTGATTGCAGGGACACTGGAACACGTGGGGCAGAGGGAGGGAAGATGCTACCTGTTGTTTTGCTCTGCATGTGGCTCAAGCCCACTCTGCTGGAGGGCTCTCAGCAGCACCTGACCTCTCTTGGCATGAGCAGCATTCTGGGGCTGAGCTGGAGCAGTGCCATGGATGTGTGTGCAGCCAGTGTGGCAGGGAGCCATGGCTGTGCTCCTCTGCTTCATGGCAGCAGCCATGGCTGTGTCCATCTGGCTGAAGGCAGTTGTTAGGGGATATCTGACTGTCTACTGTACATGTGTCTGGGAACCTGGGGAAGGGGAACAGCCCTTCCTGCTCTCTCTAGCAGTAACATGCTCCCCCTGGCCCTGCACCAGCTGTCTCTGTGAGGGGATAAAGTGCTTTCACCTTGCCCTGGCTACCTGGGAAACAACTATTTTCTATAAGCCCCAAGTTTCCTGTGTTGCCCAAGTCTCAGATGGAGGAGTGGTTATGTTTACACATACAGTACAAAAATTAAAAGGCACAAAACTACACAGAATGCAGCAGATAATGAACAGTTGATAGAGTCCCTGGTGTTGGAAAAACAAGGATGTCAGAGGGATGGTGTTGAGGGGTGCTCAGGTCTTGCTCCATGGCCTTTGCTGTCTCTTCTCATTACTCCCTGAGGCTCCCCTTCTGCTTTGTCCATTGTTATTGATTCTGCAGCCCCCTCTCTTGCCCTGAGGAACCACAAGCAGGGATGCGGGGAGCTGCTGACCTCGGGTGTTGATCAGAGAGGAGTGGTGAACTGAGCTTGCCACAAGTTTCACGTCTCCATGTCTGGTTGCCAACAGCAAATAAATTATGGGTGCCACAGTGCAGACCAGAGGAGTTTTTGGTGCTTGGAAAGGTGTCTCGTGGCTTCTTGTTAGGTGAGGGAGTCCTTTGGCCGTGGGCTAGGTCCACCCCCACCACAAGGCTGGTTTGAGAAGGACCCTGGTGGAGCTCATCCACAGTGTATTCGTGGCTGAAGGCAGGTTCCCTGTGGCACTGCAGGGTCACTTCCAGGGCTGCAGTCGGCCTAGGCTTCACTGCAGCACTCGTAGATGTTATCCTCCATGAGTGCAATCACTTGCTCAAACTTGTGCTGAAGCTGGGTGCGCTTCGTTGTGGGGTTGGCGTCCAGGGCAGCCACAATCTGCAGGAGACATGGGCAGGTGGGGGCTGGGGCAGCGTGGGCAGGGTGCCCACCTGCCAGCCCAGATCCCCCACCCAGCAAGCAGGGAGAGCCACCCAGTCCCACAGCCCGTGTCACACAGCCCCTGTATGTGTCACACCCCCCAGCACCCTCTGGATGCTCCGGGGCACGGCAGCCCTGCTTCAGCCTGCCAAATGCTGTTAAAATCTGCCTGGAATAGCTGGCCTTCCCTTCCAAGTCATCGGCCAAGGGACAGGAGAGCAGGTGCGTCTGTGTGTGCATTATTGTGTGTGTGTGTGATTATGCAAAGAATGCTAATCCCTTTCCTGTGGGCCCGGATGTGCCTGACTGCTGGGTTACTGAAAGTTGGCATTGCTCCCTCAGGGGTGCCAAGGCCTGAGCCCCCTACCTGGGACCGGTATCTCTTGGCATACTTGTAGATCTCAGCCATGGCAACATTGGTGTTGAATTCATTTCTGTATTTCTGTATAAAGACAGAACAAAGCAGGGAGGAATGTTAATGTGATGCAGCAAGCAAGTTCAAGGCCAGTCAGCAGGCATTAAATGGATTAAAATAAGGTTCTGGGCATTTTTGTATCTGTTGTATTGGTGCAGCTAGACTTTTTACTTACACCTTTAAGGAAGGTGCAATTGCTTATGTCACAAATGGCCTCAGGCTTTTTAAAGTCAGCTGTAAGTGCCCATGGCTGGCAGCACTGATCACCCCTCAGTGCTCAAAGCCATTTCCAAGGATGGGGTGATGTGAGAGCCGGGCATGGAATGCTGGCAGAAAATACCCGCTCAGTGGCTGAAGCTAAAACGCTGTGGGGAGAGGGTTGGATTTTGAGGAAGCTGCAGCACAGTCGGTGGCAGGACGTGGATCCGAGCACGGCTGCCAGCTCCTGAAGCTGGTACCAGGGCTGGTGTCCCACAGCTAGGCCAGATGCCAGGTCTGGCTGCCGGGGACTCGGGCCGGCCCTGGCAGCAGGCACCCGGGGCCAGCTGGCCGGGGGGCTGCAGAGATCCTCTTCCAAACTTCCTGGCTCTTTGGCACCGAGTTTCACTTTCAACTCCCAGTGGTGCCAAAGCTAGTTAGGTTCAAGCGAACTCGTGGGTGTTTACTGCAGCTCTGGCAGTAATTGAAGATGCTTGGAATTAGGTCAGATGAAGCTTGTGCCTGGAACTTTGGGCAACATATCCTT